AAGCTCTTTAATGTCATCAGTCCATCTACTCCTAGAACGACCTCTTGCTTTAACATCAGATAATTGCATGTGTCAAGCCTGCGTTGGTAGTTGTTCAGGCTGCATTCTTATCAGTTGACTAAGCCATTTGATCTTCTCTTTTTCAATGTCTTTGCTGGGGGGGGGGGGGGGGCTGCGTAGTCTCGAGGCATGATGTCTGCTCCGACTGCTATAGGTTCAGGGTTCAATCCCCGGTAAGGGCTGGGATCTTTTTTTACGTGGACTTGGACTTCTAGTAATTCTTCCTGGTCTCTGGGTAGTGAGATCGGACGCCCGTGTGCATTGTTGCGCACGTAAAAAAAAAATCCCTTAGCAGTTTGAAATCGAAAAGAGTAGCCTAACGGCGCTGTCCGGGCAAAATTTGGAGTTAAAAATCTACCCAAAGTATTAAAAGATTCTCGCCCTATGGGTTACTGTACGTGTGCCATGATGGTGATCCGCTGTTCAAACCTCAGATTTCAAAGACTTTGCTGGATGATGTTGTTCCTCCAGTCTATCTGATAATGCGATTTTTAACTTTGTCTCGGACGGTGAAGTTTGAAGCTTTTCTGGGGGAATCTAATTTCACAAGTGTTCATTTTGCTGCACTATCAGGTAGTGGTATCTGACGCACATTGTGAATTCTAAATTGGGTTATCTTGACGGCACTCAGGACACATCCATCAGTTTTCAGATTCACCCTGTTAGTTGTAGGTTTAGAAGAAGAAGAAGAAGAAGATGTTAGTAGTTTAAGAGGGGACGAAAAAAGAAGATACACTTACATCTTTGCAGAATTTATCTCGTAAAAATATGTATCTGTAAGATGTGCTGTTGTACAGGTCGGGCGTGAAGTCGAAGCTGGCCAGCCCAAACTCAAATGATACAACTGGATCATGTGTAAACAACAAAAAAGTCAATAGTTACAACAAAATAATTACTTTAAATGAAGGCAAACTCATATAATATGGCATTGAATACCGAATTTAACATTCTTTCGTGTATGTCTTCGTAGTCAAAGCACTCTAATTTTAGGAGCCATCTGTGTCGAAGTTGTCGAGCCGTTTCCCAGTCACAGTTAAGGTCGTGGTTTCGTTCCACGACGGCCCCTTCAGTTCATGAGTGCATATTTTACACAGATCCCTGGGGAATCGTCGCCGGAGCTTCGGAGCTCATGCAGGTGGCTAGCCATTCTATGAAGAGAGACTGAGCCATATGGGGTAATACCCGGTACAATAAAGTCGATCCTCTCGACTTCTACATTTAACCCTTCACTTCTGTAAATCGCTTTAGTTTCTAGAAAATGTCATCAGAAGAGAAGTCGGTGGCGTTACAACACTTGCCATGAAGATACGATAGCTCTATAAAAGTTAATTCTAGCCCGATATTGTCTCAAAAAGTTGTATGTGCGTATGTATATGTCTGTGTATATGTGTATATATACATGTGTGCGTGTGGGATATGTATCAATCCATCTGTTGTTCGTCTGTTAGCATGCGGATGAACCCAGGTATGTGCAAGAGTTTTTGTGTGTGCAGGATGTGTTTTTCTACAAATGAAGATGAGCGTTTGTATATGAAAATATATATAACAGTGTGTGCATGGGCAGGTGTGACTCTCTCTCTCTGTGTATGCATGCGTGTTTATGTATTATAGTTTCCGCACGAGTCTGTATGAGCGTGTGTATACATGCATTTATATGTGTGTTTTTCGTGAGTGTGTGTGAGTGTTTGTATATATGTTTGTATGTACCTACGTACATAATACATACCTATGTATGTATATACGTATGAATGTATATAAGTATGTATACATATTCCGTCTATGTTTTATGTATATTCCTTGATATTCATGCTTTGCATATTGCTACATTTCTCTCTCAGATAGGAGTAATGTTATATCTAATGAGTCAACATCAACGACGAGATCAACGCTAGAATCTCAAAGGCCAGCAGCAGTTTCGGCAGACTTTATATACCAGCGTTTGGAATAGAAGTGATATCTCCCTTGTGACCAAGCTAAAGGTTTACAGAGCTGTAATTCTTCCAATACTGCTCTACGCCTCTTGAACGTGGACTGTGTATCAGCGCCACGCTAGAAAGTTGAATCAGTTTTCTATAACTTGTCTAAAAAAAGCTGTTCAGAATCACATGGCAAGATAGGATCCCAAGATAGGATCCCAAAATAGGATCCTAAATATTGTTGTCCTTGACGGGGCAAACCTGACTAGCATCCACACGATACTGAACAATTATCAGCTGCGTTAGGCTGGTCTCCTCGCCCGCATGCCAGACTATCGCCTCCCAGAGGAAGTATTTTGTGGCGACGTCAGCAAGAGATGAGATCCCAGTGATGTCTGAAAATGCGCTATAAGGATACAGTCAACCCTGCTCTCAATTCTTTTGGCATCAACGCAGTGACGTGGGAGGTTGCTCCGGATGGCGTACAACCCCCATGCATGGTGCATCAGGCTATCAGGCAGCTAAGATTGCACTGGCGGAGAAAAGGAGGCAGACTAAAAGGAACCGTACTGCTAATCCCACACTTACTGCGGCTTTCACCTACTGTCCGCACTGCTCAAGAAATTTCCGGGCTCGTATTCGGACTAATCAGCAACCTTCCTACTCATAATCATTGCTACTTTGGATGAAAAGTGGTCTTCGTCACTCGTGATGGACAAACAACATTGTTACATTTGTATGTTTTATAAATCAAATGCAATAGATGTGTAAACGCTGCCTGTTTGGAAGGACCGGATATGAAATGGGACTTTGTGCCCTAATTTATGATCTTTGATAAAAAAAAAGGTAGTTTTTGCTCGCGCGCGCGCTCTCTCTCTTCTCTCTCTCGCTCTTCTCTCTCTCTCTCTCTCTCTCTCTCTTCTCTCTCTCTCTCTCTCTCTCTCTCCATATATATATATATATATATATATATATATATATATATATATATATTATATATATATATATATATATATATATATATAAGGTAGTTTTTCCTGCTCGCGCGCTCTCTCTCTCTCTATATATATATATATATATATATATATATATATATATATATATCTTATATATATATATTATATATCTCTCTTATTGAATCTCTCTTCCTCTCGTTAACATTTGTTTTTGTATCTTTCTTTCTGTCGCTTCTTGTCTGTCTCTTGTTCTCTCTCTCTCTCTCCCTATCCCTTCTCTCTCTCTCTCTCTCTCTCTCTCTCTCTCTCTCTCTCTCTCTCTCACTTTAACGTTTCACAAATACAGTTATACGCGTGTTTGCTGCATTTGAAAATTTACGGATTTGTCTTTGAATGTATTAAAAGGGTTTACAACTGTTTAATGTCTCAGAAATACACGTCTAATAAGAGTTATTTCCCTGTACATACTTGTATTTGGTGAAGCTTGCGTTGTTGCAATCGAGGACGCCATTTCGCCGGAACTGAAGAACACAGGTGGAATTATAGTCGGTGACAACAGTGAGTGGTCCAAGGTTCTGTCTGCAGCAGTGGTCGACGAAATAGCTATCCTAAACCTGATTTCAATAACAATGAACAGAAATTAAATTACTGAGGAAATACACACGATAAGCAAAAGTGAAGATGAGTTGCTGGTGGTCTTGTGACATAGTCTCATGTAGAAGACCCGGATTGATTCATCAATAAGAGGTGGAGATAAAATGTGTGTCTGTGTGTGCCAAGGGCAAACAAGTGACATAACCTCGCCCTAATATGGGACGCAATTTGTTGTTATTATCGTAAAGCCCCACAAAGACTGTAGTCGGGGGGTCGAATATAACCTAACGGTTGAACGGCGTTCCTAGGATCTGTACCAGAGTTACTTTTATCCCAATGGCTATCTTGGTGGGGGTTAAACGTCATTCACAAGGGCATAAACGACAATCCCAGGCTGTATAGCTAGTGGCGACTGCACCAGAAATGAAAACTTAACTCTCAAGTCCCAAGACTCACATGTCCATCAAATAAAGTAAATTATTCCATGCTAAAATGGGTACAAGCATGTACGTCCTGGAAAAGTAAAGACGGCCGGGGTAATGCTGACCATATTACTCACCTAGTGCCAACTGGTCTGTAAAAATATGGGTGCTTTTCCCATATTCCCGATGCGCCTACAGGCGTGAAAAGGAATCTTTACTTTTACTTTACTTGTTCCACGCCCTCATTAGTTGTCTGTAGATAGTTGTAGACCTATACTTTCTAAACACAACGACTCGGTGGGTGCTGTGATCAACACCAAGAGTATCCCACACTGCTCTTAAAATGGTAGATCATCATCATTTAGCAGGTCATTTGCAGAACGTCGCTCTCATCACATTTAGCCTGCAAGAAAGTCCAGAAGTGGTTCAACGACCAGAATGCCCGCTATGTTTACAACAGGTGAATTTAAAGAAAAAGACGATGTCGGTTCTTAATTCAACATTTAACATTCAACCTAACTTAACTTAACATTCAACTTAACTTAACTCAAATTCAACTTAACTTAACATTCAACTTACCTTGCCTCAACATTCAACTTAACTTAACTCAACATTCAACTTAACTTAACTCAACATTCAAGTGCGAAAGCCACTATGATACAAGCGCTAATTACTTTTACTTCCTCTTCTTCTGAATGTTCATGCCGTGTGTCGTTGGCAGTCATTCATGTCTATCCACAACCTTCTGTCTTTCAGTCAACTCTGACTTAGATAATCCTCCATACCACTATGTCAAACTGTCCAGAATCTGTTCTCTAGGTCTCCCTCTGCCTCTCCTCCCCTCCAGCGTTCCTACCGTCAGGATGTACTCCAGTTGTCATCTTCTCATCACATCTCCAAAGAATATATATAATCTCTTTCTCTTGTGGGCAATCAGCCCTCTTTGTGAGTGAGTTTCTTTTACTTACCTGTCCATTATTAACAACAAATGACCCACGTCCAACAGATTATGATCAGGGACAGAAACCTTCGGGGCCTTCAGCTCCAGAAACGTGCGGACTGCATGAGCAAAGTTGTCGGTCAGTGGCGTATCAAACTGTAGGGAGAACGTCACCCCTGTAGGACTTGGGCTGATTGTATAAAATACAAGAATATATTTACAAAACATATCAACTGAACTAGTAATGTAAATTATTAATATTTCATTTTTGGTGTGTATGGTAACATAACTCGCCTCTTATAAAAAAAATTTGAAATTAAATCTTGCAATCATTTGTAGAGGTTAAACTTGAAAGGATCGATTTAATTGCACCGGGTTTTATTCCATATCACCCAGTCTTTTACCGTAGAACAGCCAGCTGCGTGCTGAGAGCGTAGCACACAGAACAAACTCTGTAGATCCAGCGACGACCCCAGGGATCTCATTATAAATTGCACTCGTAAACTGAAGGTCGAAGCCGAGAAACGAACCTACGACCCTCAGTGCGCGAGGCAAACGGCTTGACAACTTCATGATACTATGAAAAAAAAATAAACATGATGACTGTCCGCCCCTCCCCTCTCCCCACCCCCCCCCCCCTCCCTTTAGGAAAACTAACATGACTCTTTTTATTGAGAGCCATCGTGCTGAAGGGACTAGATGCTCACATGTGGATGTGAAAGTCGTGGGTTCACATCCTGAAGGGGCCAAACCTTTTTTTTCCCCCTTGCAGAAATGACCTTGGCTCTCAGGTAGACGCATAAATGGGTACCAGACGAAATCCTGGGAAGTAAAGGCTGCCGATGTGATGTTAACAACATTATCAACCAAGTGTCGATTGGTTTAAAATATGCAGCTAGCCCTATACGCCCAATAGACTAAAGGCATGAAAAAGGTTCATTTAATTCACTCTACGGCTATTGTTGTCGGTATAGATTTGCAGATCAGGATTTGGCCCCAAAGAATCCATATCCTTACTGAGAATTCAAACCCGTGTCTGATGCAAGATAGCCGAATGCTTTTTAGTACTTGAGCCAGCCCTCATGGCCGTCATCTGACGTGATACAACGGGTTGTTATGCATGTTGAATAAGGAATTAGGAATGGACATCACAGCATTAAGGACAATCTCATAAGCGCTCCATCCTCATGTTCAGCAGCAAGCGAAAAGTTCCAGTTGCAAAGTATAGTGTATGTTTCTGCAACCTTGTTTTGAATATCTCAGTTCTGATGTATGCCCTCAGAAAACGGTTCAAAGCCGCTACGGGCAGCGAACGGGAGGGGCTGTACGAAGTGTGGGTGCATTTAAAGAACAAACACAGTGCCCTCTGTCGCGCCGAGCGTTTCTGTAACAACAGACGAAGAACCAAAAGGGAGCGAGAGAAATTCTTTAGGGACCCGTATCAGTTTGCCCGAGGTCTATTCGAGCAACCGAAGTCTGGGACTCTGGTTGTCAGTCAGGAAGAACTAGAGCTACATCTACGCAAGATGTACTCTGATAAAAAGAGGAGAGAGCCTCTCGAGGACAATCCAGAGATCCTTAGCGGTCTCAAACAGCCTTCGGTGCCGAAGGTACCATTTAAAATGGTACCTCCCCTTTGGTCTGAGGTTGAAAAAGCCAGCGGCAAGTCTGCCCCAGGTCCGAACGGTGTCCCGTACGTTCTTTACAAGCGTTGCCCGAAAATCCTAAAAATGCTTCACGTCTTGTTGAGACAAGCGTGGATCCGCAACCACATATGTCCAGAGTGGTCAAAGGCAAATGGGGTCTACATTCCCAAAGAGCAGGACTCGAAGAGTCTTTCCCAATTCAGGCCCATCTCGCTGTTGAATGTTGAGGGTAAGATATTCTTCTCAGTCATGGCTCGCCGGCTCACACAGTTTCTGATGACTAACAAGTACATAGATACGAGTGTTCAGAAGGGTGGTATTCCAGGCGTTCCTGGGTGCCTTGAACACGCGACCATGATCTGGGAGGCTATCCAGAGAGCCAAGCATGAGAGAACCGATTTGCACGTTATATGGTTGGACTTAGCCAACGCCTACGGGGCAGTCCCCCATAGGCTACTGTGGCGAGCCCTTCACATGTTTCACGTACCGACACAGATCAGTCAAATGATCGAGCAATATTTCTCCAAGTTCGCTTTGCGCTTCTCTACCTCGACGTTTACCACGAGGTGGACTGAGTTGCAGATTGGGATAGCTATGGGGTGTACGATCTCACCCATACTGTTTGTCATGGCAATGCAGATCTTATTAGACGGGGCGGCCGGCTACGGACTGGGCCTTCAAATAGGGGATCACTGGTTGCCGCCACTGCGCGCATTTATGGATGACACGACTATTATAACGGGCAGCGAGGAGTCTGCCCGCACGATCCTGAATAGATTGGACGCGGTGGTCCAATGGAGCGGTATGCAGTTTAAACCGCAGAAGTCGAGGAGTCTGTCAATCCATAAGGGCAAGGTTTCGGCGACCAGTTTTACGGTGGCAAGGAACAAGATCCCTACGGTTCTGGAGGAACCGGTGAAGAGCCTCGGTCGCGTCTACGATTCGAAGTTATCTGACAGAGCGGAAGTCCGGCGAATACATGAGTCACTTGCTACAGGCCTGCTCGCGATCGAGCGATGCAGGCTGGTCGGGAAATTCAAGGTATGGTGTCTCCAATTCATGTTGATTCCAAAGCTCCTATGGCCACTGCTAGTCTACGAGGTGACGATGACTGCAGTTGAAGCCATGGAGAAAAAAATCAACACAGCCTTAAGAAAGTGGATTGGAGCACCGCCTTGTCTGACCGACGTGGCTCTGTATTGTAAACAGGCTAAGCTGGTACTTCCGTTCAAGTCAATAACCGAAGAGTTTAAAGTCGGCAAAGTTAGGCTCGCCATGCTTTTGCGCGAGTCCTCAGACCCAAATGTCATCGCTGTCCAGCCCGCTCTAAAGACTGGCCAGAAGTGGAGGGTCCTCGATGCGATTGAATCTGCTCAGAACGCACTAAAATTGAAGGAGGTAATGGGTTACACACAAACCGACCGTCGAGGCCTAGGGCACGGGAAAGTCAATTGGTGGTCAAAGGCCTCAGCCAAAGAGCGCCGAGACATGGTGATACAAACGGTGAGGGACAACGAAAACGAGGTTCGGGTCCAGAAAGCAGCCCAGCAGTCGCAGCAGGGCCATTGGGTCAGCCTGGAGAGCGCATTGCCGAGAATACTCACATGGGGTGAGATCTGGCGGATGACCCCGCTGCGACTGAGCTTTATCGTTCGTTCGGCGTACGATGTATTACCGTCCGGTGTTAACATGGTTAAATGGTCTGCGACCAACGATCCGACTTGCCCGTTGTGCAAATCAAAGCAAACTCTTGAGCACGTCCTGTCCGCGTGCAGGAAAGCTCTAGGTCAAGGCCGATATACCTGGCGCCACAACAAGGTGCTAAAGGAGTTAGCAGCCGTTGTCGACCAGGCTAGAATGAGGGCTAATGCCAGAGCCAGTTCTAGTATCGCCCCCATTCGTTTCCTCAAGGCTGGGCAGGTTCCAAAAGGTAATGTCAACAAAAACGCATTCGCTCCATCTGTGCTAGACTCTGCGAGGGACTGGTTACTGGCGGTTGATCTGCCAGGCCATGAACGGTATCCCGAGTTGATCCGTAAAACCGGCCTGCGACCGGACATCGTTCTCCATTTTTGCACAAAAACGGCAGCTCATTCTGATTGAGTTGACTGTCCCGTTTGAGTCGCGGATGGAGGAGAATCATTTGTACAAGCTCGAGAAGTACAGTGATTTAGCAGCCGGTTTGAGGAGAAACGAGGCTTACACAGTGCGGGTATTTGCCGTCGAAGTGGGAGCGAGAGGCCTCGTTTCCACTTCGCTCTACAATGTGGTAAAAGAGTTAGGATTGCGCGGTAATGAACGTAAACGGGCACTCAAAAAACTTGGTGAGGTGGCCGAAAGGGCATCCAGCTGGCTGTGGACGCAGCGCAACAACGTAGGGGACGGGCCTCGGTGAGCTGGTCCGGGTATCTAGTGGAAAAGAGTTTCTTATCCCTTTGAAAGTCCATCGTGTCCGAATTGTTTGCCAGTGTTCCTCTGCCAACTGCTAATAAAAGTCCAAATGTGTCCGGTAAACCAAAGTAAGCTTGTCGCTCGGTCGTCCAGGCATGCGGACTGTTCTAATTACGCTGCCGTGGCGGCTTCTTATTTCACAGTACCTCCTTCGAAACCACTAAGTCGTCTTGTCTCTGGCCGAAAGTGTAACACCATCCGGTAATTCCGTGCAGCGGGGAAGCAGCCCTGAGCTTCATGAACTCAGGTGGGCCCACCTCCGAATACGTTTAGGAATCGTGGGCCGAAACGTGTGTCGAAAGAGGATAATTTCTACTGATGACTGTAGATCCCCGCTGTACTTGCTCCCTGTGAGTTTATTCTTACTTACTTAAAAAAAACACATATTACTTGCATCAGAGAAAGACACTGAGTTCATCGAGAGATGGGGGAAAACTGAAACATGTCATGACAACAAATATGCTAGAAGGGAAAGTGGCGGACGTAGACTATAATAGATGTTGAACAGTTTTCTGTCATTCTTATTCTTCTTCTTCTTCTGCCTTTCTATCCCCCATTGGAGCATAGGCCCTCAACCAACTCACGCCAAGTCGTTCTATCCTTCGCCATTGCATGGAGCTCTCCCATGTCCTCTCCATCTTTCTAACTTCATTCTCCAGCTCTCTTCTCCATGTGTATAAATCATTTTATCATTACATGGAAGAAAATCAGAAATGATTGACACGAAACGAAACAGAAGTTTGTGGACAGACATGGCTACGAACTCTGCCCACCATTTATTGTAATAAGAAACAGTTACGATAACGGAACTTTTAAGGCCACGACTTGAGATATTTACAATATATAAACTATACGCTTACCTATAGGGGGATGTATACTATGATAGAACACTCTTTCACAAAGAAGCATTCAAAATACATAACTCACTTGAAGGATATGAGGTCGCAGACACGGAAGCTGTCTATGAACGGACTGTTTCTCGCTGTATACCATTGTGTTAACTGAAACAACATAGTGCTCATTTACTCTTTCCATCAAAGAATAGATTAACCGATCAATCAGTCTGTCGATTTAACGGTCTGTCGATTAGGCAACCATTCTGTCAGTGTGTCAGTCCATCAGTATGTCTGCCTGCTAGTCTATCAGTATATCAGTCAGTTTGTTTGTCAATATGTCTGTGTGTCTAGCTGTCTGTTTATGTATCTGTTATCCTGTTGTGTGTCTGTTTTTTTAAATTTAGCTTCTCTTTCTCTCTCTCTCTCTCTGTGTGTGTGTGCGTGTCTCTCTCTCTTGTGTGTCTGTGGGTGTGTGTCTGTGTGTGTATTTGTGTATGTGTATCTGTATGTGTGGCTGTGTGTGTTTCTGTAGGTGTGTGTCTATGTGTGTGTTTGTATGTGCATATAAGTGGGTGTGGCTGTGTGTTTGTCTGTGCGAGTGTCTGTCGGTTTCAGTGTATCTATCTTGTTTAGGTGTTTCTGCGCGTGTGTCTGTGGCTGTGTGTTTCTCTGTGTGTTGCTTCATGTGTATTTATGTATTCGTCTTCTAGATAATGTGTGCGTGTGTGTGTGCGTCTGCGTGTTTGTGTTTGTGCGAGTATTTGTGCGTCTGCGCTTGTGTTAGTATTGTGTGTGTGTATGTTTCTGTGTGTGTCTATGTGTGTCAGTGTGTGTGTGTGCCATTAGGTGTCTGTAGGTGTGTCTGTGTGTGTGGCTGCATGTGTATCTGTGTCTGTCTGTGGCAGTGCGTGTCTGTGTGTGTGGCTTTGTGTGCATCTGTGTGTCTCTTTGGGTGTGTCTATTATATAATGTCTGCGTGTGTCTCTGTGGGTATCTGTGTGTGTGTCCTTTTGATAATGTGTGTGCGTCTGTGCGTGCGTGTCTGTGTGAGTGTTTATGCATCTGTGAGTGTATGTATGTGTGTGTGTGTGTGTGTGCCATTGCGTGTCTGTGTGTGTGGCTTTGTGTGTATCTGTGTGTGTCTCTATCAGTGTGCCTATTACATAATGTCCTCGTGACTCTTTTTGTGTCGGTTTAAGCGTCTGCGTGTATGTCTGTGTGTGTGTGTATGTCTGTGTGTGAGTGTTGCGTATGTCTATGTGTGTGTATGTCTGTGTGTGAGTGTTGCGTATGTCTATGTGTGTGTGTGTGTTTTTCTGTCTGTTTTCCTGTCTGCGTGTGTGTATGTGTTTGTGTGTGTGCCTGTGACTGCATGTGTGTGTGTGTGTGTCTGTGTGGGTTTATGTATGTATGCGCCGGTGTGTGTGTTTGTATGGATCTTTTTGTGTGGCTACGTGTGTGTATCTAGGTGTGTGTGTGTGACTGTGTGGGTTTACGTTTGTGTGCGTCGGTGTACGTTTGTGTGCGTCGGTGTGTGTTTTTGTATGGGTCTTTTTGTGTACGTTTGTGTGTGTATGTATGTGTTTGTGTGTATATCTGTTTGTGTCTGTATGTGTCTGGGTTGTACGCGTGTGTGTTTTAGAGAGCGTGTGACTGTGTTTATGAGTGTGTGTGTGTGTGTGTATATATATATATATATATATATATATATATATATATATATATATATATATATATATATACGTATGTGTGTATGTGTGTATTCGTATGTATGTGGATGTATGTGTGTATTGGGTGCCGATGTGTGTATGTGTGTAAGTGAGTGAATGGGCTTGCATGTGTATGTGGGTGTGGGTGTTCGCGCGCGAGCGTGCGCACATATTTTACCACCCATGCTTTTGTTTTTGACTTTATATTCATATTATGCATATTATTACATGAACATAACATGCTTTATTGATGAGATACAACTGCTGTGTGAAAGATGGGAGTTTGGAAGGGCCGAATGTAAGACAGGCCTGCGTGCCTAATTTGTAACCCTTTGAAAATAAATAAAGTTCGTTCGTTCTCTCGTTCTCTCTCTTTATATATATATATATATATATATATATATATATATATATATATATATATATATATATATATATATATATGTGTGTGTGTGTGTGTGTGTGTGTGTTTTCATCATATGTTATATGCCCATAATAACTGTCAGTTGCAGGCGTCTGTCTCTGTCTGCATATGTATTGTGTGTATATTTGGGTGTGTGCGAGTGCGTGCGCGTGTGTGTGAGTATGTGTGTTCTCGTGTGTGTGTGTGTATATCTAGTTTACTCATATCTCTGTTACAATATCCCAATCAGTTATTATTCTACAATATTCTTGGGTGCAAGTGCAAAATATTGCAGAATTATGTAAATTAGAATGTCAACTATTCTTATCTGAATCCCTGCATATAACACACACACACACACACACACACACACACAATCTCATACATATGGTGCTTGAAACATTTTAATTAACCAATCGGCACCTAACGGAAGAGGTGGTCAGGATAACGCCGGCCTCCTTTACTTCCGAAGAAGTTAAAACGTCCTCTTTTACTAAAGTCAATTATAAGAAAAAAAAGTACCCCAAAATTGGGATTCTTTGTCTTCTACATGTTCACCAGCTTCAAAGCACAGGTTGTTCGGACATATTAAGACTGGTTTTGTTCAGGAACTTGCGTTCATCATTTTCACAAATTTGACCTACTTGTATGACGATTGTTTGTCCCTTGCCGCTCAGCCAGACGCACACCGACTTCCAATGAAACACCCCAAATTAGCAGTCTATTACGACATGCTTATTAGAGGACAGTACGCCAGCCCGCCCCCAAATGAAACTCTGCAACACACTAAAAGAAAATCAGGTCTACTTACATCATCACAGAGGGCTTGTCTTTGTCGCTTGAAGAGTTCAGATCCCGGGTTTCTTAGATCTTCCGTGAATGTTAGATTGTAGACTTCGTAGTACAGCACCAGAACTACACCAGCTGGATGGGAGTATAATAGAATCAGTCACATCAGCTGGCAAACTTCCTTGGCTACAAGGGCGCTGACAAACAGAAAATATTGTTGTTGGGGCTTCAGGGCCTTAACGAATTTTACAATGGTTGGGGCCGCTTATGGCAGTCTTAGGATTGCTTAATGCTTAGTAATCATAATATTAACTATAATAATAATATAGTGCTCAATGGCGAACTACGTAATACAATTAATAACATGTTTGTTGTATTATCTTATGGTTGGCGACTGAGGTTTACGCGCTTGCTAATGATGGGGTGCGGGGTCCAATCTCAGCTGCAGACGATTTGGCAGCAGACAGTTTTGCGTTAATTTCAACAATGGTACCGAAAGCTGACCTTTTAGTGGTTTTGGTAAACTATTAAAACGTAAATTTGCTTAGAAAAACAGTGGCATCCAAAAAAATGCTGATGTTGGTTCTGCAACGACCTGTAAGGTTACGCAACTAAAGTCTTTTTTTTTTTTTTTTTTAAATTTTATGTTAATAAACAAGAATGGTGAATGTTGAATTAAGTATCGACATCGTAGCACTCGGGACACTCCCATAAGAGCCCTGTCCGTATCTTAAGCAGCAAGCGAAATGTTCTGTTTCTGATGGTACCAGTAACGGACAAATTGAATATGAATAAATGAAGCTTTGGAAACTGAAATGGCATGTATGGTTAGGGAGTGTTGAACCTCCCATGTAAAATATAACAAAGGTGCTTAGCCTGTCCCTTTCAGGGTGGAGGAAAGGGGGTGGGGGGAGTCACTAAAACCTGTGCTCTAGGCAAAAGCTATTCACACTTCTTCTACTAGTCCTAGCACGCGTTCTCTGTGATCAACCTTGTGTTGAGTCGAGAACTGACATTATAGCTCTAGGGGCATTTTATGCATGCTCCGTCCTCATCTTCAGTAGCCAGTGTGCAGAGTTCCAATACTGGTGGCACCGATCACAATCTGGTTATATGTCCGTCTTGCCTTACCTCTGAGTGTAGTGAGCTAGCCAGACCATCTGGGTACACCCAGATACCTCATTCTCTCCAGGCCATAATAATCTTCTATCTCTACTGATTCCGTTGCTTGTTCCCGAAGGGCATTGACGACATCTGCTTTGTCATATATCACTTCACCATCTGTTGCTGCAGGTCCAGCCAAAATGCCTGCCTGTTTATTACCCACTACGCCGATGTGGGTGGAGAAAAGATCCAAAGTATGCCCACTACCCGTGACCTTTCCATTGTGATCGACCATGCAAACCTACATAGAATGGACGTTTTCTTTGAAGTCGAAGAGCATCTGAACGAGGGACAAGGAGTTCAGTTTCTGCATAGAACAATCCGAGAAGGGAAACATAGACACACACACACACACAAAACTAAAGCCCTAGCACAAGATCAATGCTAGAACACAAGCAGGACACATACCCACACAGGACTACTACTGGTTATACAGGTTACGTCGCAGCAGCTTTGTGGTGCTCTAATATAAACGTGATATATGGTTGCATAGAGCCCTTGTTGTGTAGCGGCTAAACGCTTGCCCGCGGATCGAAGGTCTTGGGTTCGGGTCCTAAGGTAGCCGGATTTTTGTCAAAGATGACTTTGGCTCCTTTATCGACTCAGCCACAAATGGATACATGGTACAGTTCTGGGAAGTAATAGCGGCTAGCATGTTGTTGCATATGTCCCTCTGAATACCGACTAGTGGATACACAATAGTTTTAGCCATATATACCCATTACGTCTGAGGGCCTGGTAATATGTCTTTACTTTGCATGGCTAATCAGGTGAATTGGGTTTCCAGGATTTGAACTGGTTTGATTCTTATCCTTGAGGTGTTACTACTGCTGTTGTCCTGGAGGGGAACACTAGGAATTAATAATAATAATAATAATAATAATAATAATAATAATAATAATAATAATAATAATAATAACTTACAACAAAGCTTTCCATCCCATTTTACAGTCTTCAAGCAACATATAAAAAAAAGAATGAAAGAAAGAAAGAAAGAAAGAAAGAAAGAAAGAAAGAAAGAAAGAAAGAAAGAAAGAAAGAAAGAAAGAAAGAAAGAAAGAAAGAAAGAAGAAAGAAAAAAAGAAAGAAAGAAAGAAAGAAAGAAAAAGAAAGAAAGAAAAAGAAAGAAAAAAGAAAGAAATTAAGAAAGAACGAAAGACGGATGGTTTATATTTTATATCACATAGTATTCATTATTTATCACAGAACATAGACGAACAATTCACCGACTAAAAATCACTTACACTGAGTTGAAATGGCTGTTGTTGACGCTGAAGACAGGGCGGTGTCATGTAAGGATGTCATTGACGAGTAGAGAGTTGAGGAAGCCAAAGTTGTGATGTTAGTTGGAAACACAGACGGTCCAACTGGCAACTCCTCGGGTAAAACCAAAATATCGCCAACAATGTAAGCCAAAAATGTCAGATAGTAAACAGGTTGGCCAAACTGGCGGATTACCGCTATAATTGATGAGGTCAGACCTTCTATGACAGTTCCATGGAAGACAATGTAGAAGTGGATTCGGAGAGGATTGTTTCTGTGTCAAATAAAGGATATTGTTATGGATAGGAACTTACTAATTACAAAAAGTGGGTGGGGCATATCAAATGCAAGTGCGTGCTTGCCGTTCTTCCTTTCCAGGCTTTTACCTGAAAAATCTGGCACTCAGAAATCAGATGAGTTGCAAACAAACATGGCCTGACGATTTGATATCGTCAGACAAAATTTCTCGGGGGTGATTCGCCCTGGGCTCATTTTTTGTATAGTCCAGTCCATACTCGATGACAGCTAGGAATCAGGGGAGGGGGGGGGGGAAGGCTGTCTTATTTACCATCACCACATTACCCACCGAGTGTGGATTGGTCTATTAACACAGAAGTCTATATTTACACATCTAATTAGCCCTAATGATCCAGGTACTTTTCAGAACGTCGCATTCTCATGGCCTACCTGAAAGTACCTCGGTCTTTCACTGGATCTCCCCCTTGTGCATTTTTCTACTCAGAATGTTACTAATATCTGGTGCCCACCTTCATGCTGGTCGGCCCCTGACCCTCCTTCCTGACACCATGCCTTCTGCTACTATTCTTTCGTATCGACCCTGGTCCTTGCTATTGTTAAATATTTAAGTTTTCGAGACAAGAAAACTAGATAACCTTCCTTGTTATTTAGATCTTTTAGGTTGTCAGTATTTATTGCATTCCTGGTCCATAGTATTCTAATTATCATTCTATAGCATTTCCGTTCAAAACCCCTCATTTTCTCCCTTAAGGCTCCGAAAAAGTTTACAACTTACGTCCTAATTTCTTCCTTAAAGCTGCGAGATGGTCCACAAATCATATCCTATTTTCTTCATTGGGCTCCGAGATAGTCCATGACTCACATCTGTTTTCTTCCTTAATGCTGCGAGATGGTCCACGACTCACGTCCTATTTTCTGAATTAAGTCTGCGAGACGGTCCACGATTTACATCCTACATTCTTCCTTAGGGCTGCGAGATGGTCCACCACTCACATTCTTATGTTGCTACAGGAAATCCGATCCACTGGCCCATAAAGGGTTCTTTCCTCCTTTTGGAATACCTCTTCGAAATGGTCGCCTACTATCAGCGTGTCTTTCCTTTCTTTATGCTACCAAGCTGCAATTTATATTCATAGTTAGTTTCTTAGTTAATCGACACATTTTCCTCACTGCACATCGGAGAAGTCCACAAGCCCTCCGATCCCATCTTCAGTATATCCCTCAGCGTTTGGCGACTCCTAACACCAGTTCTGTGTTGGTTTACTTTTCTTCTTTGGCTATCTGTAATTTCTTCATGTCTTGCAATACCTCTATTGACCTGACGTTCTTGTAGTCTTTTGAATATTGTCGACTCAGCGCTGTCTGAATCATTCACGTGTCATACCTCCTTGAGAGCATTGAGAAGATCGGCCCGGTCCATTGCTTGCCCTGTACCTGCCGTAGCCATGTCAGCAAGCCAATCCGCTCCTTCATTCATTGATTCTCCTTGTTTGGTAGTCAAGATTTCAGCATCACGCGAGATCCGTCACTCCATAATGGCTCCGTTTACTTGCCAGGTGAGATCAAACAAAATGCCTTTCAGTGTGAAAACTTTGAAAACTAGCCAACAATTTTGCACTGCCTGCTAAATCTTGAAGCTTGCACACAAAAAGCAAAAATAGCCAAGGCAGCTGTCGGATGTGCCAACACTAACTGTTCATTGCTGTAATGTTGCTAAAGAAAAACCGGTATTGTTGACGTATTTCCGTATAACTAGATGATAGTAATGTATTGTGTTACATAGATGCTTTGGTATCAAAGTCCATGGCGGCGCCGAGAGTGGCAAGCCAGGTCAATAACACAAGCACAGGGCCGCAATAAAGGGACAATAGTTGGTAGTGGTTGAAATGAAGCATGATGCAAGAGTGTAGTACTCTGAGCACAGGACGGAGCTTTCCTACTAAATAAGCTGCCAAACAAGGCTAAGGACCAGGCCACCCCTGCGAACACATTAGGTTTTCCAAGTTGCATTTATTCGTTCTGGGTTCCATGTGGCCTATTAGTTATTCAATGGGTACAATGTAGAATGTGGATTAATTAACGATGAAAAATAGCAGCCACCAGTGAACATCACAGTAAACGGAGACCTATTTGAACAAGTGGCAATGTTTTTTTTTTTTTTTTTCTGGTAATCCAGTCATCTCCTTGTGAGATGCAATTTTTCGTTATTTGAAGCCCCACCCTGGCTCTTGCCAGGGGCCGCAATATAGCCCTACCATAAATATGGTCTAATGGCTAAACGCGGTTTCTGGGACCTCTCCATGTTGATCCACATCCACATGGTGGCACATTGTGTCATCTTGTGTTTATCGCTTGGGTGATGTCCTAGTTGGGCAAAAATCTACTACTACTAATTTATTTTTCTAATCTATGACACGCAGCAATTAATGATGGAAGAAGCGAAACAGAAATCAAACAGAGAAATATCTACGGCAAAAACTCTTCAATAAGATGCGCAAATTACTGACAGCTAGAAAAAATAAACAACACACTAAAAATGAAAATCGCCAAATGTTATGTCTGCTCAGTCCTGCTATATGGCGCAGAAACATGGACAATAAACGTCTAACTAAAAAATCTAACTAGAGGTAGGGATATGCAAAAGAATAGGCAATATTTCAAGGACAAAAAAAAAAGTCCAAAACAGAGGTTCTGTAAAGGCTAGAAATGAAAAGATAATTACAAAAAGAAATTTAAAGAGAGAGAGAGAGAGAGAGAGAGAGAGAGAGAGAGAGAGAGAGAGAGAGAGAGAGAGAGAGAGAGAGAGAGAGAGAGAGAGACGACTGAAATACTTTGGCCATATAAACAGATATAATACGCTTTCAAACACCACACTGGAGAGAAAGGCGCAGACAAAAAAGCAAGAGGTGGCTACACGGTGGAATCAAGTGAGTGGACAACATCAAGAGATGGACGGGCAGCAGTCTGAGAGAGTTTATAACCAGGACAACAGACAGAGTGTTCTGGAGATCCATTACAGTCAACCCTCACTGTGGAGACGGCACCTGAGTGACTGATTGAGAATGTGGATAAGATTTTAATATTTAATAAAGCAACAATCAAAATAATGATACTAAAAAGCCCAGCGATGAACATAATAATTACTGGGGATATACAAGAATAAGTATAATTTTTCTCGCATATTGTATTGGCTGAGGCGAAAAGCAAATCAAATAAAAAAAAGTAAATCTAAGAATATACTTATCATATAAATCAAATCCATTTACGTATTTGTGTATGTGTGTGTGTGTATATATATATATATATATATATATATATATATATATATATATATATATAATATAAATATATATATATATATATATATATATATATATATATATATATATATATATATATATATATATATATATATATATATAATACAAGCCAAACAATATCTCGAAGATGTGGTTTTGCAAAGAAATAATTAGAGTTCTTTGGAAAGTTAAGAAGAGCAACCAATATGTTTAAGCGAATGCTCCAAGACAACGTATCACAAACGTCAGAAAGAGATGGTCCTAATTTTGGTGTTGTTATGAGAATCTGGAAAATGGAACATGTTGTTAACACTGGAAAGATCTATGGAAAGAGAAACAGGGGAAGACAGCGTGAAAACATCCTTGACAGTATTTTGTCATGACATGGCGGCGGTATGTCAACACTCGAACTGCTCCACGCAGCAGCAGATGGCAGATTGTGGAGAGGCGTGAGACGACAAGGCACTTGATGATGATATATAGACATTTCGTTCATGTTTTGTTGTGAGTGACTACTTCTGGCTCTGATAACACAGGGTTAGAATAAATATGCTTTGTATGAGATGTCTTTTTGTGCTGATTGGGATTGCTAGCTGTCTCAATACTAGACCAACTTAACTGCATCGGAAGTCAATTTCTTCGTAATAAATCAATTGAGAAGCATAAAAATCCAATGTCGAAATTGAAAACGAAAAGCAACACTTTATAACGCAACCATAAGCCAAATAGCTTTCTACGTCACTTGCTTAAAACTATCATACTTACGTGAACTGGTCAACGCCGCATTCAAAAAATCTGTCACGATACACGCTCAGCATATAGAATTTCTTCATCTATAGTTAGATATATTTCAAGTCTGTACTGTCTGTTCTTACACAATATGATTATTGTCAACACACTTTAATTGTCCCAAAAATCATTTAATCTAAACAACCCAGTATCTGCTCCGACGTTTTCTCTACAGTTGTCATCATAATACTGAGTCCCAATGTCGGACGCAAATTTGTGTTGTTTTAAAGCCCCACCCTGGCCAGTGCCGTGATCCTAATAAAACCCAACTTATGGGTTAAACGGGGTTTTTGCGACCTCTCCCTGGGGATGCTCATCCGCATGGTAGCATTTTGTATCATCAGGTGTTTAACGTTTGGTGGATGTCCGGGTGGAGTTAAATCTCACTCGTTCACTCACTTTAAAGTCTTCACTGAATGTTATCAGCAAGCGATTCTCATTAGATGTTTTTGCCTTGTTGAATATGGTATGCTAGTTGATTTTTGCTCAGTCCGTTTCTGTGTCTCGTCTGTAGTGTGTACAATCGCAGACAACGAACATATACGGGGACATTTTTTGTGTGCAACATTCTGTGAAGATTATGGAACTAACTTATTATGCAAACTAACTTAATATCTATCTCACACATCCAGTTTAAAGACCACACATCACTTGGTAGATGATGTGGTTAGCATCACGCTGGCCGCCTTAACTTCCCAGGACTGCACTTGTTACCCATTCAACGGTGGTCGACCTGGGAGCTAAGGTCATTGTTGAAAAAAGTCCGACCCCCGTCAGGACCTGAACCCATTTCCTTCCGATCTGCAGGCGAGCGTCTAGCCGCCAAACTACAGCGGTTCCCACAGTTTGACTGTGGTTTCATTTTTTTAAACCCACTTTAGTCTTAGGGACCATCTTAAGACGGGACATTTGCATATGGGCAAAAGACCTTGTATTCGAATTCGTATGGAGATGGAATATTTATCATCGACCTTACATGAACAGCAAGGAGAAGTGGCTCGTAGATACCATCTTCTCCTGAAAGCTGCAGTATTTTGAACATGTCATTCGCCATAGTGGTCTGGGGGGTGCAGTTAGTGGAATACATGGAAGAGATCGACCTACGCGAATGTAGATATATGACACTGAAGATGTATTAGCTATGCAAGTACACGGAGCTGGCGAATTAGCTACGGAAAGAAATAGTGTTTGGAGTGTCTTGAAGAAAGTGACGCTCTGAAAGTGGCTTGCAGCGTTACTGACATCCCTCTCAGCTCCACCTAGCTTAAAATGGTACAATGAATCATCATGAAATGGACAATTGGTCGGTGTTGTATTGACACCGCCTATCAAGTACCTATTGGCCTACAAATATATAAAAAAAACTGTGAAGCCTTATGCAATATTGCGTGTGCAACTGCTGATTTGTTGCAATTGCTGCTTCAGTTTTGAATGAACTGCAATTCTAGGGTTGACTGATAGTGTTGACAGCTGTAGTAACTGCCTCATATATTTAATGCATATGTATGCTACCGGCTCTTCCGAGACTGAGCCAGTTTCAGCTTGTTCACGCTGTTAGTTGATCATTTTGACGTGAAGCTAGAACTAAAACCAGCTAACGAACAGATTCACCACTGCGTGCCCAATGATCCAATTGCTTGAGATTGGTCCTTTAGTTTACTGTTTTGTTGATGGGGGCTGTGGGAAGATGGGGTGAGGGTAGGGTTTGGGGTGCGGCGGGGGAGGGGGGGGGGGAAATGACTTGAAAACGAAACTGCTTGTTCTTGTTATTATTGTTGTCGTTACTGTTGTTGTTGTAATTATGGTTTTTAATGGCACCTTTATGCCTTTTCAAGCGATGATGTTAGTTTATGCTATGGGGAGACATACAACTCATAGCCCTTGGCCACGGCGAGTCTCACTAGATTTGTTCACCCGAGTTAAGAAACGTCTTCCACAATAAGAGCAGGGGATTTCAGTACCGTTATGTCCATCGTATGTTTTTAGTGTGCGTCTTCTTAGACACGCAGCTCCCATTGTTTTAGTGCAATAATTTCTTCCTTAATTCCTATTCTTTTCCTGGTTTGCCCCCTCCCTGCAACAGGGTAGATGACGTTAACGAAGAAACAGATATAAATGACACAAATGTACTCGTATGTACTTACGTCTTGGCAGAAGAGCCGCGCGTGATTTTGAAATGTGGACGATGTTTGGACCTCCAGATCTTGGGTGTAGGTGACGTTAAGTACCCGTAGGTTGGCTCGTAGTTCAAGTCCGTTAGCTGTGAATGAATATATTGCAATGTGTTTATGATATAGACGGCTCTAATTATTCTTGTTAGTTGAGTCTGTTGCAAAACCAGTCTCGCAATTTCTTAGCTGGTTTAGATTTTACTTGGGCAATTTTACGTTCAGTAGTTTGCCATTGCCGGTCAGCTTTCGATATCATTTTCGAAACCAACGCAAGGCAGTCTGCTGGCGAATCGCCGCAGCTGGGATCAAACATGGCTGTAGTCGGGGCCCTAATATAACCTTAGTGTTGAACGGTGTTTCTAGGACATGTGCCGAAAAGTGGCACTTTGTGTCACGGGTGTATATAGCTTGTTGTGTGGGCGTGGCTGGGTTGAACGTCACTCATTTATAGTATTATTGTTATTTTATTTATCCTGCAAGCGTATGTAATACATGGGGAATATTAAAACAGTTATGGTACTGGTATACCTACTAACGTTGCGAACGCGCTTCGTAATGCAAGAGAGCTGGATTTGATCCCAACTGCGGGCCTTGCGCCTCCCGTTGGTTTCGACAGTGGTATCAAAAAGCCGACCGTCCAGAACAATGACAAACTACTAAACGTAAATTTCATTAGAAAATTCACAACAGACAAAAACTGCTGGGGCTGCTTCTGCACTGTTTTGTAAAAGATACGCAACCAACTTTTGTATCTGCTAAGGCAAATCTAATAAGAATTATTTTACAGCGAACTTGCTAGTACTAGCGTCAAACAAGACTCTTACTAAAACCTATGAGCGCACACCCATCATGTAGATTAAATGTCTTATAAGAGATGCTAAAGTAACAACAAGAAATATAATCCCAAATAATAACACTACAAGAAGACGAGGGCAGAAACCAGTCAAGAAATTCATTAAAAAGCAAATCCGGAGATGGTCTGGCTATCTGAGGAAAATGCACTAGTAGCCATTGAGACACGCAGCAAGGCTGAAGACAGATAATGAACACAGACCAGCTAGAATGACCACGCCAAAATAGAACGATGGCATAGAGAAACCAAAAATAACGATCAACGTTTGCAGCTCATTCAGAAAAAGCGTACACAAGATTCATTAGTAATGTAGAACCAAAAAAAAAAACGCACCATGAGTGACTGTACTTACTCTTGTGCACCAGTCATCATTTGTTAATTGTAAATTTAATCAGAGTATACTAAGCAGACATTGGGAAAACAATCACGGTATTATTACCAGGGAAGAAGAGATGTATCATCACTGGGTGTGTAAAATAAAAATAAAAAGATGAAATATTAAGAGTGCAAACTGACATAATTAAAAGATGAACAGAGTACTTGGGGGAACTGCATGATGATAATAGACCAGTAGTAGGATTACAGGACAACAGTGAAGGCCCACCAGTACTGACCGCAGCAGCTGAGAGGACATTGTATCACACGAAGAAAACAAAGGCACCTGGGCCAGATAAACATCCCATTATTAGAAACTGAAGTTTTGGGATATTTTGCAATTAAAAAAACAACAAAATTGTTAAATGACATTCATAATAGAAGGTACATTTCCTAATGACCTATTAACATCTATATTAATTGCTCTGCCAAAGAAACAGGCACTTAAACGCGTAAAGACTGTCGCACCATAAGTCTTATGAGTCATGTGACAAAAAATTTAACTATTATAATTATGAGAAAAATAAGAAAAAAGTTTCAATCAGAAATGAGTGAAGAACAGTGAGGATTTGCAGAAGGAAAAGGTCCAAACAATGACATATGCATCCTCAGGACTCTTTCAGAAAAAGCTATAAAGGTGAAAAAAAAATATTCATACTTCACTGACTGTACGAAAGCACTTGGTTGTGTGGAACATGAAGAAATAAACGAACAGAAAATTTGAACATTGATGGAAAAAAGATTCACGAATTATAGAGAAAATGTATTGTCAGTAAACAGCAGTACAAGAATTATTAAACTGTTGGAAATATTTCAGAGCATAAAGGGGGAGGGGGAGGGGGGGGGGGGGGGGGGGGGGGGGGCTAAAACAAGGATGCGTATTATCACCTAATATGTTTTTCATTAAACAGTGAATATTAAATGAGATCTGTCATGGATATGCCAGGAATTGTGTTTGATGGGCATAAGATAAACAACCTGCGTTGTGCTGATGACATTGTCTTCATAGCACCAAGTCACAAAGAACTATAGGAATTGATAGATACGGTTGTGGTAGAAAGTGATACAAGGGGCCGAGGTTTGAACCAAAGGAAGAATAATTAATGGTGATTTCCAAGACAATAATAGCGTCTGAATGTATAATAAAATTCAAAGAAGTTTTTTTTAGGAGAAGTAACGAAATTTAAGTAACTAGACATATGGATAATATCCGCTCAAAGATGTGCCACAGAGATAAAGAACAGAGTAGGACAGGCCAAAACTGTCTTTTATAACAATGAAGACCATTTTGTGCCATAAATCCATGTCCTTGGAGGTTAGAGAAGAATTCTCGCATGTTATATACAGCGCATTTTAACATACAGCTGTGAATCCTGGACAATTTATAAAACAAACCGAACAATAAACTGAGACCGCGAAGATGTAGTTTTATAGAATAATGGTTCGAATTCCTTAGACCCCAAAGATGAGGAACCCAGATGTTTTGAAAACGATCATTGTCTGAAGACAATTTATCACTAACATCAGAAAGTGGCAGTCATTATTGTTTGGTCATCTTATGTGATAAAGAAACCTGAAACTTGTTGTGACCTCTGGAGAGATCTGTGGAAAGAAAGACAGAGGAAGACCGCAAGAAGATCATTGACAGCCTTTGTCATGGCAACACACGAACTGATAAACGCAGTTGTGAATTGCGGAGTGTGGAGAGGCATAATCGCCGACGTCACTTGATGATGATACTAAAAGCACCCGAACAACAAGTCCAACTCCTACAACGGTTTTTTTTGGGGTTGGGGGGGGGGTGGATTTAGTATACCCATCGGTTTGTTGTGCCACAATTGCCTTGTATGGGCATCAGCTTTAAGCTTCTGTGGATGAAAGAGTTAAATATCCCCTTGACACTTCAGTGAGGTAACAGAGACTAAGAGAAGAAGAACTAGAAGTCTCTCAACCTGTCTGTTGTCCGAGGATGACGTCCACAGACCCCACTCGATAAACCTCCAAGAAGCCATGGTAAGTATCAGGAACGTAGAGTAAGGGGGCGTGTCGACGAATCACCCACTGTATGCCGCCGTCTATCCCTGGCCACTCGCCCCCAATGTAGCCGACACTGACTGTTATGGTAGGTGGGTCGTCTCTAAAACAGCGAGCAAAACATTTGATAAAGTAAAGAAAACACTGTTAAACATGCATGTGTATATTTAGGTAAAGAATACACTTGTATGCATTTATATGTGAGTAAAAATAAGGAAAAGACCCTTTTCCACGCCTTTAGATGTATTAGGCATATAGGGTTGGACCTATTTTATAGATCAAGTCCTAGAAAATAAAGACGGCCTGCGTGATGCTGACCACATCACCCTCAGAGTGCCGTCAACCACATCACCCACAGAGTGCCGTCTGACCACATCACCCGTCTGACCACATCACCCACAGAGTGCAGAGTGGCCTATAACATACTGGTCTAAAACTATATACCCAACACGCATGAAGGCATTGAAAAGGGTCCTCTGTAATATTATGAGAGCGAAGAAAAATGACACTCCCCCTCTTCCCTGCCACCGGTCGAGCATCACATCAAGGCGGATATTTTTCTCCAGCATTGACCCAGCCTGAAACTGACTACCAGGCACTGTACTTGGAAGTAAAGGCGACCGGCCAGATGATAACCGCATCGCCCATATTGATACCTTACCCAGAATTTGAATAATGGTCTCAGACATGAGATAACTTTGTTCCTATCCGTTCGGTCAACTTAGCACATTATGATACTTTATTGTAAACATTATAAACTCCTTAACAATATAAAAAGGATAACAATAATGTGGCATACCGTAAATAAAGTCTGCAAAGAACGTGTTGCTTAATAATAATGGGTGCATGTTTATTGCTTTTCTATCGCCTAGCAACATGTCTTTCCTAAACAATGTCAGTCATCATCAATTGACTTGCCAGCTGGCGTAGGCGTTCCTGCATCTCCATAGATCTCCGACTCTGGTGTTCTGGATCAATTCCACTGACGATATTCACTGTCTTAAGACGCCCACCTCATCACTCGGTCTGCCCCTGACTCTATTTACCAGTGACCTTTCCACTCGTCACGATATTTTCCAGTGCCCCGTTTCTCATCAAATGACCAAAGAACTTTGTCTCCTTCTCATTGTTGTATATAATGTTCTACTTTCATTAGCCATTTCCAGGCAATCATTGTTAATTAGTCTGACAGTTTAAGGTATTCGCAACATTCTTCTCAAGAACTACATCTCAGCTGCCTCCTAACTAATCTTAATTTTTTTGGCCACATTTCAAGATTCACTGCCATACAACACAACAGGCTCGATATAAACATTTAAGTACTTGTTTTCTGATGTAAAATGAGAGTGATTTATTAAATAAGATATTTTTTTTTTTTTTAATTCTTAAATGCAGCTTTGCCTGGCTAATTATGCTCTTAATTTCTGTCATATCTTGTTCTTCTGATGTAATGAATGTCCCCATTTGATATGAATTGATTGACCTGGTTAAGCAGTTTGGTTAAACACATTTTGGAGTTTTCTTTCTCTTTGATATAGCCATTGTTTCTGTTTTCCTGACATTTAAGGAAAGTCGTTTTTTTTTTTTTTTTTGGTTAGTTGTTGTTGCACTCTCTAGTACCTCAGTGTCTAATAGTTGTTGTTGCACTCTCTAGTACCACAGTGTCTAATATTTGTTGTTGCACTCTCCAGTACCTCAGTGTCTAATAGTTGTTGTTGCACTCTCCAGTACCTCAGTGTCTAATAGTTGTTGTTGCACTCTCCAGTACCTCAGTGTCTAATAGTTGTTGTTGCACTCTCTAGTACCACAGTGTCTAATAGTTGTTGTTGCACTCTCTAGTACCTCAGTGTCTAATAGTTGTTGTTGCACTCTCTAGTACCTCAGTGTCTAATATTTGTTGTTGCACTCTCCAGTACCTCAGTGTCTAATATTTGTTGTTGCCAGTACCTCTGTCTAATATTTGTTGTTGCACCACTCCAGTGTCTAATATTTGTTGTTGCACTCTCCAGTACCTCAGTGTCTAATATTTGTTGTTGCACTCTCTAGTACCTCAGTGTCTAATAGTTGTTGTTGCACTCTCTAGTACCTCAGTGTCTAATAGTTGTTGTTGCACTCTCCAGTACCTCAGTGTCTAATAGTTGTTGTTGCACTCTCCAGTACCTCAGTGTCTAATATTTGTTGTTGCACTCTCTAGTACCTCAGTGTCTAATAGTTGTTGTTGCACTCTCCAGTACCTCAGTGTCTAATAGTTGTTGTTGCACTCTCCAGTACCTCAGTGTCTAATATTTGTTGTTGCACTCTCCAGTACCTCAGTGTCTAATATTTTTTGTTGCACTCTCCAGTACCTCAGTGTCTAATAGTTGTTGTTGCACTCTCTAGTACCTCAGTGTCTAATAGTTGTTGTTGCACTCTCTAGTACCACAGTGTCTAATAGTTGTTGTTGCACTCTCTAGTACTTCAGTGTTTAATAGTTGTTGTTGCACTCTCTAGTACCACAGTGTCTAATAGTTGTTGTTGCACTCTCTAGTACCACAGTGTCTAATAGTTGTTTTTGCACTCTCCAGTACCTCAGTGTCTAATAGTTGTTGTTGCACTCTCTAGTACCTTAGTGTCTAATAGTTGTTGTTGCACTCTCTAGTACCTCAGTGTCTAATAGTTGTTGTTGCACTCTCCAGTACCTCAGTGTCTAATAGTGGTTGTTGCACTCTCCAGTACCTCAGTGTCTAATAGTTGTTGTTGCACTCTCCAGTACCTCAGTGTCTAATAGTTGTTGCAGGTCTTCTGCGTTTTCAGCTATTATTTTCTACAATCTGCGTAACGAACAGTGTTTATATTATAACCTCAAACTAGAATTCCTGGTCTATCCTTGACCTCCGTCATTATTTTTTTACTATGGAGAGAAGCGGTCGGCTATGTGGCTAAGTCTATGCGAACGCTTCGTAATGCCGGGATACTGGGTTCGATCCCAGCTGCGGGCCATGCGCCTTGCGTTGGTTTCGACAATGGTATCAAGAAAGCCTACCGTCCAGAAAGCAATAGCAAACTCATTCATTCAGTAGCATGTCCCTCGCGGAACCTCGCTGCCATAACAACCCTCCGGAAAACCTTCCTATCATGAGCAAGATGTCCTGCGTCTGATACACCCATCTGGAGATCATCTGCCACATCCTGCACCCATCTTCTCCTTGGCCTTCCTCTTCCTCTCTTCCCAGGCATATACCCCTCCATTATTGTTCTCTCTAGACCTCCATGACGTTTCAAGTGACCAAAATATTTCAATTTTCTTTGTTTTATTGTCTTTACTAGCCAACCCTCTTCAATATTCAGCTCTTGAAGTATGGATGCATTTGTTCTTTTCTTTACCCAAGATATTCTTAGAACCTGTCTGTAACATTTATATTCAAATGCATTTATGCGCTGTTCCGCTTGTTTAGTAAGTGTCCAGGTCTCACAGGCGTATGTTGCAATAGGAAAGATGCATGCTCTTAAAAATCTGACCTTTGTAATTCTATCTGTACAATTCCATAATTTATTCAGTTGTTTTAGTCTTTGAAGAGCAATTGATAGTCGCCGTTTGATTTCTTTCATTGTGTCACCATTGTTGGTAACCAGTGACCCAAGATATTCGAAATTTTCCACCACTTCCAATCTTTCCTCATTAACATATATTTCCTTCTCCATGGCAGTTTTGTTTGTATGCATTATCTTTGTTTTTGCTGTGTTAAGAAATAAGTTATGATTTTCACTATTTCTTTGGAGTGAGGTTAATAAGTTTTCTAAACCATTTTGTGATGTTGATAGTAATACTGTATCATCAGCATAACGAATTTCTGGTATTTCATGACCACCGATGTTTAGGGCATCATATTGTTCCTTGTTTATATCATCTCTTACATTTCTCATTATATTTTCGGCGTACAGGTTGAACAAATACGGTGACAGCACACATCCCTGACGGACTCCTTGCTTGATGCCAAACCAGTCTGATGTCTCTCCATCTATTCTGACTGCTGCTTGTTGGTCTTGATAGAGCATTTTAATGAGCTGCACTATATGTGATGGAAAGCCCATATTCCTCATGATTTCCCAAAGCTTCTGATGTTGTACACAGTCAAATGCTTTTGAATAATCCACAAAACATAAGAACAGATTTACATTAAATTCTCTACACTTCTCTATTATTAAACGCATGTTGAATATATGATCTCTTGTTCCTCTTCCCTGTCTAAATCCAGCCTGAGCTACATTAATCTCTTCTTCCATTTTCTTATGCAGTCTTCTCATTATAATTTTTAGTAGAATTTTACTTGCATGACTGATCAGGACAATAGTTCGATAGTTTGTACATAATTTCAGGTCACCCTTTTTTGGTATTGGAATGAAGATAGTTCTCTTCCAGTCTTTTGGCCAAATACCATATTTCCATATCTTTTCACATAATGCATGATAGATTTTTATGCTTTCTTCTCCTCCCGCTTTAATCAATTCAGCTGGTATCTCATCACATCCAGGTGATTTCATAATTTTTCAGGCTCCTTATTGCCCATGAAATTTCATCTAATGAAGGTTCAGGTTCTGCCTCTACTGTTACATGTATATCATTCATATCCTCACTGTCATTCATATCATACATTCCGCTGCAGTATTCCTGCCATCTTCCTAGAATTTGTCTAGATTCTATTAAAGTATTTCCCAACCTGTCACAAATAACATTTAACTGAGGTTGAAAATTTCTTGTCAATAACTTCATTTCCTTGAACATTTCGTAATCTCTTCCATTTTTATGATGCTGCTCTATTTTAATACAGCAATCTTGTACATACTGATTTTTATCCTTTCTTGTGTACTTTCTTATTTCTCGTGTTAAAAATTTATACTTCATCCTACTGTCATTGGTTTCTTCTTTCTTTTTCAGTTCCCTTCGTTGTTTTTATTAGTTCTAACGTGTATGGTGTGATCCATGGTTTATGTTGCTTAGTCCTGATGGGTATTAAGTCTTTAGCTGCTGTTATCAAGATATCCCTAGCTTGTACCGCCAGTTCATCAGGTGTCATTTCCTCTTGTACAGACATCAAGACCTCAAAACGGTTCTTCACTTCTACG